CGTGGAAGTATGCATCCTTTAGGTCTATAGAGGTGAACCAGTCTCCCTGGTGAACACACTCTAGCACCCTTTTGACCGTCAGCATGTGAAAAGGCCTTTTCATTATTGCCTTGTTGAAAGCTGACAGATCGAGGATGGGTCTCATTCCCCCAGTCTTTTTCGGGATAAGAAAATAGCGGGAGTAATACCCCTGATTTTCTTCCCCTTGGGGAACCCTGGAAATAGCCTCTTTCAACAGGAGTTCCCGTAGCTCTGTTTGGAGCGCAAGACACTGTTCTCGGGATGACAGGCGTGTCTCCTGTATCCCGTTGAACTGTGGGGGGGGGGGGGGGGGGGGTGTACCCTCTGCTCATCCATCTGTCCATCAGACACACGCGCTGCCACTCCGAGAAACACTCTGAGAGCGGGCGCACATGCTCATGGGCTTATTGTGACCGTGTGTAGGTGGCGTATCTCGGACAGAGGAATGCCGCGAGGTCTGTGGTTTAATAACCGAAAAGTTATAACCACCAGGCCTCTGCAGCGAACCCTGCTGCGTACTAATCAACAGATTAGAGGCAGCTGGCGTAGTTACTGCGCTCTGCAGCTTATTAACCGATAGATTAAAATGTGCAGGCTTTTGTAACGAACCCTGCTGGCTATTAACCGATAGGTCATAGGCAGCTGGTTCACCCAGAGTGGGGGATATGTGAAACACATTTGAAACTGATGACTCAGACAAAAGGTTGGGAAATAAGCTTTCTTTTTTATTTCCTTCACACTCCCCCCCCAAACCGTCAAGGCCGGCTCTGCTTCTTCGGCGGCTCTCGTGGAGCAGACGACGAAAGGGAGTACCTCACTCCCCTTTGACCCCCCCTCTCCACTGGTGGGGGGGGGCAGAGGCGCGTGCCCCTGCCGCCGCCGACGGACGAGTCTGACGCCTAGGCTGCGGTTGCTGTGAGCGTCTCTCTGCCTGTCGCTGTGGCCGTGTTGGCCGCTGCTGCTGCCGCTGAGGCTTTGCCGCCGGCTGGAGCCGGCCGACGTGCTGGCGGATATCATCCGCCTGCTCCGCTGCCGCCTTCATGGACTCCACCATGGCTAAAAACTGGGGTCCGAACAGCCTTGCTGATCGAAGCGTCCAGCAAGACCTTCCTGGCTGGCTCTGTAACAGCCGCCTGTTGCAGCCAGAGGTGGCGCTGGATCTGCGTCATCCACGCAGAGATCCTCGCCTGGGAGAGAGCCACGGATGCGCATGGCGTGAGTGCCGTGCTGGCCGCCTTGCCGATCTCCTCCGCCTCCTCTGGAGCCACGGTGGTGGATCGCTCCACCAGCGTAACCAACGAGTTGGCTAGCAACGCGATGTTGTTTGCCGCCGCAGACGCCTGAAACGCACACTGGTGCGCCCGGTCAGCCTGGCGGGCGACATACTGGTCCCTGGGGGAGGCCAACGTAGGGCGCCGTCCGGCGATCAAGTTGGCCTGCTTAACCCCAAAGAACGCCGTCAAGCTCGGCTCCAGAACGGGGGTGGTTGGGAAACCCTCCACCTTAGTGAAGGGAACAAAGGTGGCCACCGGAGCCCTCGGGGTCGCCGCAGCCCCCTCCTGGTACCTCCTAATGGCGGGGAAGTGCGGCCAGATCGGGTCACTCCTGCCCGTCTGAACCCGGGAAAAAACTCCGGCCATGTCATCCAGAGCCACCCTCTCCCGTCCTGGGGGAACGGGGAGACCTCTGCAGGCTGCCGCCTTGCCGATCTCCGGCAGCTCCAGCATGATGTCACCCAACGCCGGCAGCGCCGTGGCAACGGAGAAGGGGACCACGTGCTCGGCCGCCACACCCGTACCTTGCTCCGACACCGTCTCCCCCGTCCGGGGGAGAGGGGGAGGGGAGAGCCGCATGGCGAGCCATGGAGGGAAACGGGGTAAGAGTCGTCCGACTCCTGCCCAGCACTCGGCCCCAGAGACAGGCTGTCGTCCCTGTGGACGGGCCAATCGTCCTCCTCAGCCGCAGCAGAGCGTCCGCTCTTCGCTTCCTGTCGGCTAACGGGAGACGGGCACAATGCGAACACGCGACCTGCTGGCTGAGAGTCGCGTCCGCGTGCTCTGGCCCCAGGCAGGATTCGCATATCGCGTGTAGGTCATAGCTCATGATATACCCCGTCTTACATGAGGGACAATCACGGACACGGTTGTTGCTCATGACTCACATTTCCTGTGCTTCAGTACTGTGCTGGTTGCTGAAGAAAAGAGGGAGCAGATTGCCGGGCCCCCTTCCTATTTATACCGGAAGGAGGCCCGAGAGTGGGGCCCACCTTGCGGGTGGGCGTGGACTAAAAGTGTTTCAGTGCTGCGCGGGGGCGCAGGGGGATTAGCCAATAGCGATAGCCTTAGAGGGCGAAGCCATATACGAAATAGAACCAAACAATGGTGTAGCTGTATTAAAGGTCCCATTGCATGGTCCTTTCTACTGATCATAATACCATTGTTGAGGGATATTACAATAGAAAAATACTGTGCAATTTTCCAAACTCAGATTGGTTTCTCATACATTATCTCTGTATAGTATGAGTTTTCACTCCCTGTGCTAAACGGCTCGATGGAGTTCCTGCCCCCACCCTCCTGTGCGTCCAGTGTGCTCCGATTGGTCAGCTCTGCCACTCTGTTCTGATTAGTCAACCACCAGAGAGGCTCTGCCCCTGTTGACATCTGCCGTAAAGTGGTTTAGCGGGTACTTAGCAACATAGCAATACTAGATTTGAGAATCGATAGATAGTTATATAGATAAATAGATAGCTTACATTTAGCATACAATGGCGTATGGAGCATACAATTTCGAACCTCCAGTCCGTTCGATCCTAGAATAGACCAAATCGCGAGTCTTGCCTCGCCGTTCACTAGAGCAGACCAAACAGTGTCATTGTGGTACGTTTTTATCTAGTATATGTCTTACATTTCAGATGTCATCAGATGTACCTACAACTGTTGTTATTTAGGTGCCGTTGTGGAAACTGCGCTTTGATGCCAAGTGACGGAGAAAACGTGTGCTGCAATAGCATAAGAAAGGTAGCCTGGCTTAGTTACATTATGTCGGCAGCTAGCTGAAAACACCAACAGTAGCACACATATACCAAGATATACAGCATACATATTTTTCAAGTCAATAGACTATTATATGGCAGGGGTGGGGAACCTTTTTCCTTTCAATTTTTACAACATCCTCCGAGGGTCGTACAAATTATTGAACTCAACCTCTGCTTAAAAAAACTAAAATCACAGCCCATTCATTTGGCCTTTCTTTCATGCAGTGCAAAGAAAAAGCAACCAATCCAGATAGCTCACCATGACTCACGTATGCATGCATGTGCACGGTGTGGCATGACCACCAAAACAGAAAGATATGGACACAAGATGTGTGCAAATGTATTTAGTATCCTATCCATGTGAACATGATTTAAGTGGGGGGGGGGACCTAACCTCCTCTAGGGGGGTCCGGGAGCATGCTCCCCTGGGAAGATTTTTTTTTTAAATATTGAAGTTAAAAGCATCAATCTAGTACACTTTGAGAGCAACATGAGGAGATCTATGGATACATCTCTCAACACCCAGATGAAACAGAACTGTAAGCATATTTTTGTTTTTGGATATTTTACAAATCACTCCCCTTTTAAACTCTATTCTTGTTATTTTTAACAACTTTTTTTGTTACTGTCATATAGTATTTTATACCTGTTTTTCATTTAGTCTCATTAATAACTATAATGATCATATCAAGTTGTGCCTTAACCTCACTGAGCTGAGGTTATTTGAGCCTCTCAGGAGAGAGCTCTCTTCCACCTGGTTGTAGAAAAGCTCTTTAAATTCGTTAGCATAGCTAGCTAACCAGATGCTAATAACAACAGATCGCCACTGTGCTTACAACTAAAGACACAGCCACGCAAACACTGCGGCATGTGTACGGCTCCTTATGGGTACTGCAATATTTGAAGAGCTGGAGCGGGGTTCCGGTGCTCTCTGAGCACTCCTTTCAGACGAGACATATACCACGTGAAGACACGTTACGCTCGTGTTGTGTTCAAGGAACCTGTCCTTGGCCAGGAAAAACAGGTTGCTTGTTTAATTATTTTTGCGGTCTAGATTTCTTCTTCTTTTTTGAAGTGAGAAGTTGTTCGTCAATCGGACTGACGGACGGACTCCCCACCCCCAAAACTCTTCGGTTCTCCACGAATTACACAAGTCACCCACATCAGCGTTAAAAAAGCGGGAGGCGCCGAAAAATCCCATATTAATGTATTGATTATAGCTCCGGGTCCGTATAGGTCGGCGTCTGGGTCCGGATCCGGACCGCCTGTTGCCGACCCCTGCCCTACAGGGTGTACTTTGAGGGGTTTTGACTTTGCAGACTGTTTACATGCATGGACACCTTCATAACACACAAGGAGACGGGTAATAACCGGAAAAGCATGCAATGGGCCCTTTAAAGTCAGAGTGGAAACAGTCGTGAGTAAATCGGATTTTGTCAGAAATCGGGAGAAATATGACCCCGGAGGAAACCGGGAGAGGGCAATGAAATGGGGTTGGTTGGTTGGTTGGTTGGTTGGTTGGTTGGTTGGTTGGTTGGTTGGTTGGTTGGTTGGTAGGTTAGTAAGTAAGTAAGTAAGTAAGTAAGTAAGTAAGTAAGTAAGTAAGTAAGTAACACACACACACACACACTTCGTATTTAGTCTCCTGATTTTAAATGGGAATTAAATCATTTGAGTGTTCCCAAAGCAGCAGTGTTCACAGTTTTGGAAGATTCATAGCTAACCACACTGAAGATTATGGATTATCTCATATTTTTAAGCCTCAATTAGTCCTCCCCCCCCCCCTCTAACATCACCAGAAATCATAATTTAAGGGGTCATTTCTCAAAGAATTATTCTGGGGGAGGATCCCCCCGTACCGCCCTAGTATGGTTAGGTCACAGCCATTTCCATAGCCCCACCCAAAATATTTTCCACCAGCCGCCACTGTCCACAGTATATTTACCTTTGAAGAAGCTCACATCCAGAATAGCAGGTTGGATTGAGTTTTTAACTTTGGCAACACCCTCAATTGAATTCATCTTCCCATTAGACCTGAGGAGAGAGGGAGATAGAGAGAGTAAAAGACACGCATTACACCCATACTTGTTCCCATGCAAAAGGCAACCTTTAGCTAAAAAACAATGTTTGAAATATAGTTTTTGACTCCATCCTTACAGCAGCTCTGCGTTGAGAACTTTGACGGTCCCATCGCTCAGCAGACTGTATGTGGCTTGGTTACATGTTCCTTTTTCAAACAGAGCGGGGAGCTTCTCTATCTCATACCAGGTTCCCATGTACTAAGGAGAAGAGAACACAGATTGTTATCAGCATCCAGACCCATTAACAAACTGGTTAATCTTGCTAGTGGAAAGAAAGGAAACATAGTGAATATTAGACTAACTTTGTCTATTTGAGCACGTAGATTTTTCCTAAATTCATCAGAAGTAACATAATAAAACAGGATGAAATGATTTATATAACCAAAGGAAGAAGTTTAAAGGTGGGGTAGGTACGTTTCAGAAACCGGCTCGAGATACACTTTTTGTTATATTCCATGGAATGCTCTTAACATCCCGATAGCAATGAATATCTTAAGTGCTTTGACAAAAAATGCATACAAAAATGTCATCAATCCGTTTAGCCGGATTGGATTGCCGCCATAGACTGTATATATAAATGGACGTAGGGTCCGTGACGTCACCCATAAGATTTTGCAGAGTTGCAGAGAAGCCCTTAGTAGGCAGAGTCGGCCACTAACGGCTCGACAGTGACATCAGAGTTCAACTCCCGCCTGTTCCAGCCTGCTCCAAATAAGGGCAAAAAGGCGGAGCCGAGGCGGGACCTGCTGCCACCGAGCTGGAAGTTCCAGAGCTAGCTGAAGCTACCAAGCTAAGCTAACATGCTCCCCATCTGCACACTGCCGTGGCATTTTACGTTTCTAAGGTAAGCGGATATGAAACTATTCAGCATAACTATCAATAATAATCTAAGTTATTGAGTTTTTAGCATAATACTTCAGAATCTTACAATCCCTTAACGTTTGTATGCAATTGTGTTAAATTCAACACTAGAATCAAGAAAATATTAATATGTTTGCATGACATTAGTTATTTGTATTTTGATATCACTTAACTATACGTTTAATACATTTAAGTCAAGCTAAGGTACATGTGATGGTAGCAAGTTAGTGCTCTTACCTGTGAGGCCTCCTCCAAACAGCATAATAACCAGACTGTATCATTAAAACTAAGTACCAGTTCTAGATCCTTGACTTTAGACAAACAATTCAAAAGACAACATGTATTTAAAGACCAATCTTTATTTGAATGTGCATCTTAACCTGAGATATTAGTTATACAGTAATAGTATTGACAATCTAAAAAAACGGAGCAACTCAACAGTCAACTTTATGTTTCTTATTGTCTAAAGCAGTGCTTCTCAAAGTGTGGTCCGCGGACCACTGGTGGTCCGTGAGCGCCCCCTAGTGGTCCGTGAGTATATTGGTAAAATGTCACATTTGAAATAAATACATTTAAGTTTTCCGCACTCTCGCGGGAATATCGCCGCAATGGAGCGAGCTTAAGTTTCATATATAGGTATATAGCCCACATAAACACCTTCATCACACATGTGGCCACTTGTTTGTACCATTTTCAAGCGATTTGTAAAAAACGATGTGTTTTTGGATATTTGTGGAGTTAGGTGGTCCGCGAGTGTTTTTTTATTGGTTAAGTGGTCCTTGGTATGAAAAAGTTTGAGAAACACTGGTCTAAAGCATTTATTATTTTCATTTTCCCCCTCTCATATTCAGTGTGGATGGATTGAGACAGCCTGGTGTCCAGAGAGCTGCAGAGACTTCAGGGAGAAACCTCCGTGTGATGGACGGCCTGTTGGTTTGGAGAGGACTGAGGGTCTTTCCTCAGCGAGGAGGACCAGGCCTGATGGAGTAGCCCATGCTGGGCATAGCTGATACCAACTGCACAGGCCTAGTCTGTCACTTTATTTGACTAAATGTGTTCACTTATACATTTAATAGGTTTACACCTTCTGTCCATATGTGCTTTTTATTTAAAACATTTGATTAACTTTTGGTTCACATTTCAGTCAATTGTATTTGTATTTGCACTCCTTTTGTCCATTATTCTTACTGAAAATGTTAGATTACACATTCACATCTGACTGAAGATTGGCCCCATTTATTTGAGATGTTGCAAACTCTGCGGTACAAGGCACAGGTGATGTAATGCTCATAAAGTGAGGCAAATATAAATAACCAGCTGATGGAGTGTAGATGTGGAAATAGCTGCATTCGATCAGCTGACTGTGTTTTCACAATAAAAGTAGTTTCTAAGTGAATGTCCTGTACTGGTCTTAAAATCTCATAACATCAGCTTTTAATGTTCCTCTTGGATGTTCTTCTTGACCCTCAGAGAAGGAGAAAATGTCGTGTCTTTCAGGCATGTCCTTCCTTTCCTAACAAAAATTACAGGAAACATAAAACATATTATTGCAGAACAAGTGTGTTATTTATGAAAGCGGTGTGTTTGTGTGTTTAGGGGCTGTAGATATAATTATTTTGTAATTGTAATGTTTTTTTTTTATTTCAACAGTGAGCTATAAAGACAATTGGATTATGAATGAACAGTATGAAGTTCATCAACATTGAAATATATGTTATTATCAAAATAATATTGAACTGTTATCAAAATGTAGTGCAACTGTAGAAGCTTGATCTGTTGTCTCACTGAAAGAATAACTTTTACCACGTTTTTTACAGACAATATTGAGAGATAAATAGTAGCAGTTCTCACTGTGTTAAATATCTTTGCCTTCAATACATTAAATTAGAAAGCTGACAGTCATATTGCTAAATATCTCAAATGTAACTTTTTGCATGGAAAAACCCCTCAACTTAACTGATGTGTAGGTGATCTAGTATTTAGTATTGTTTAATGGAATACATATCAGTGTATTAAAGTCAATACTTCATTCATTTAAGCCAATATCTTTCTTGATTCTTTGTACAGTATGAAAACAAGAGTCTTTGTACCTGTGCTGAAGTTCACTGCTGTGAGGAGTCCAGTTCTGTCTCTCACTCTCTGGTCCAGCCTGTCTGCATCACCTGGACACCTTAAACAAACAGATATATATGTAAAGTACCATGTGTACAAACAATATAACTTATTCTCTTCTGTTGAACATGTTGGATTGTGTATTGTCCGAGTCAGGGTCCTTTTTATTTTACTGTAACTTTGGAAGTTGTGTTACCAATGCTTACTGTTTATTTGATACCCATTTGGTAATGCAATTAATAAAAACAACAAGGTTTGGGTTCGTTCTTCAGATGACTGTGACGTTAACATGTAAGCTCAATAATGAACTCCAGCTCAACCAACCATATTGTAATATCTAACTAATCATCTTGAGATATGACATTAATAATTGTAATATACACACATCTTATTGTGAGGTTGATTTCACATACACTACTTCGACGTTAGCTTGTCTACATACTTGAGCATAGCCAATTTAAATTAACCTTAGCGATGTATACAGTTCCTACGCAAACCTCAAACAGAAGCCGTTTGTTCTACAGTATTATCCCACTTAACGCTTGTCTATTTTGTTTTAACCTTTATATATAGGCTACAGTCTATGATTTTAACTTGTAGGCTACTATGAGCATCGTTAGCACCGATGTAGCTACCACTCGCTTACACACTAAACCAAGCCTTAACATTAATTACGTATCCGATTAAAATCATTAACACATAAATAAGTACTCGATTTTCACTTACCGCAAAACCGCATGCATGCACCGTCTGTTTTAACCGCAGAGCGAGTCACAATAGTCCGATATATAAGCATGAAGAACAAACAACCACGGCCGGCTTCAAGTTGTGTTCCCTGGATGAGCTGAGCAGGCAGAGTCCCTGTAGCTTCACGGAGCAGCTAGCAGAGAGACAAGAAGCTAACAGCAGCAGTCACTTGACAGAGCCGTCACTCAATGTGGCCACGCCCTAATTTATGCAAAAACTTTAAGACCTAATATAAATAAAAGGGTCGCGTTAGAAAACAATTCACTCACAGATCCATAATCATGAAGGTGGAACCTAACTATATTCATAATAATATTAATTGCATCTGTAAAGGGTTAAACCAGTTCATTGTTAAAAAAAAATAAGTTAAGTTAAAAAAGTGTCAACCCCATATTTTTTATTGTTGTCTCTTTAGAAGTCATTCAACTGTATTACATTGCAACTGTGTGGCAGACTGATCACTTGAGGGCGATACCACTCGGGAGGATCTAGAACCCTGCAAGGGCAGAAACCTGCAGATTAAATCCTGCAGTTGAGCTACAAACAAGCTAACATTTCTGCCTCGTGTGTTTTTCATATACAGGTGGGTTCTAAGTCCTTCAAATGACACCATAGTGTCCCAGTATAAGGGGTATAAGTGTTATGAGTGTGTTGTGATTGAGTGTGATATGTCTAATCGTTGTTTTAGGCAGTTATGTATAGTTATGTGTAATGTTTTTTTTTCCTGAGGACAGCATACGTAAATGAACCTGACACCAAGATTTGAAACAACGTGCTGAACTCCTGCTATTTGAGAGATGTCTGCTATAAAAGATCTGCGAAGGGACATCCAGAGGCAGCTTCATGAGCTGATTAACTTCAACGAAAGTGATGTTCTCTACAAGCTGGCAGCGTCGATTGATGATGAGGCAGAAGAAGAGCTACCAGGGGATGATGCAACAGATGTGGATCTCTATGACTTCATTGTAGACTTTCTGAAAAGTGACCAGTTGGCAAGTCAAGAGGACCAAGGCATGTCAAGGCTGTTAGTCTTCAACGACCTCATCACTGAACTACAGCAACTGTCAGAGGCTGTAGAAGAGCACCGTGAGTTAAATACAGAGACTGAAACACAAGCTACACCTTCAGTAATGAATGTTAAAGCAGACAAGTCACCAGTTGTAACCAGCCAGGTAACTAATTTGATTAAGTTGTCGGATGTTGCTGCTTTACTGCCACGTAGAGAATTTAAGATTCACAGTGGACACATTTCTGACTCAGATTCTGATGTTAGCTATACCTCACTGTGTAGGCAGATTGATGAAGGGTGTTACAGCCGCTGCTACCTTGTGCCTTTAACGTTGTGTGTATGCAAATGAGCTGTGCCTTCCGATGCTGTCAGTGGCCGTCCCGACCTCGCAACATTCGCGGGAATTGGATAGACGTCACTCAAGCCCCGTCCGCTGCTGCCACGTCATCCGGGGGAGGAGGATAAAGGC